GCATGTGGGGCAAGGCGAAGAGGCCGAGACCCATATGGGAGCCTTGGCAGAGCGCCCTAAGAAAGCAGAACTCTCAAATCTATTTTCAGCGTGTGTTTCTGTCACTGAGCAACCCCGGACAGTGACTGCTTCCCCATTCTTGGACCCCGAGCTCCTGCCACAGCTGACCCTGGCCACCAGCCCCAGGTGGGATGGTGCCAAGCTAGTGACAGCCAACCCCACCACACTGGCTGGGACAGTTGAGGGCTGGGGAGAGCTGTGGGACACCAGCCTGGAGAGCTGCTGGCTCCTCCCCCTCCTCCAGTGAGAGCCACCTGCTCCTGAATGAAGGAGAAAAGTGGAAGCAGGGAGGAGAAAACAGCATCTGCCTCCTGAGATGCCATGGAGCCCCTCACCCTGGATGTGCCTGGAGGTGACACCCTACACTCACTATGCAGGCCAGCGAATTCTGCTGCGCTTACATCAGCTTGGGCTACATTTGTCACATCTGTCACTGATGACAAATGTGTCTGTCACCACTCTCGGGAAGCCTGTGTGTGTGTGTGTGTGTGTGTGTGTGTGTGTGTGTGTGTGTAAGAGAGAGAGAGAGCGCGAGTCTGCATGCAGGAACAGACTAAAATGGACACAAGAATGCCCAAGGCTCACTGCAGGCACACAGCTCGCCACACCTTCACAAACCACTTCCACATTCACTGCGGAACTCGGTCATCACGGAAATGCCCAGAGAGGGCAGCACCATCAGCCCCGTTCCTCTGTTGGCCAGGCCCAGTCCAGAGCTAGCCAGGACATGGAGATTGTCTTAGCTGGGTTCTCTTGCGTCCCCTGTGAGAAAAGGAGGCTACGGAAGGGTCAGGCAGCCTGGACACGAGGCTTCCAGGGCTGGTTGGCTAACAGCGCCCAGGAAAGCTACAGGTATCGAAACTGCAGTGCAGCAGCCTGGCTCGGTCCTCGCACGTCAAGAGACTCTCGTGGGATCCACGCTGGGCTATTCTACTAAATAGTGGGAAACACTCCTCACGCACCATCATGCCAAGCAATCATTCATTTTGTTTTTTTTTTAAGATAATATTTCTTCTATTTGAAAATCAGAATTAGAGGGATACCTTCGACCAGTTGGTTCACTCCCGAGATGACCGGGCTGACCTGAAGCTGGGAGCCTAGAGCTTCCGCCAGCTCTCCCACATGGGTGTAGTGCCAGAGGCACTTGGGTGTCCTCTGCTGTTCTCCCAGGCCATCAGCAGGGGGCTGGATCAGAAGTGGAATAGCCAGGCCTCAAACTGGTGCCCAAATTGAGTGCTGGTATTCCAGGAAGATGATTAGCCTGTTATGCCAAGGAGCCAGGCCCTATTCATTTTCTTTTACAGGGGGTCCCCGACTTACTAACGGCTTAGTGGATTTCATTTTGTTTTTGCTTTTACTTCTTGAAGGTGTGAAAGCCACAGAAGGAGGCACACTTCAATAATCACCCCGAAATATATAATTTTTTTTAGATTTTTTTTTTATTATTATTTTTTCATCGGAAAGGCGGATATACAGAGAGGAGAGACAGAGAGGAAGATCTTCCGTCCGATGATTCACTCCCCAAGTGAGCGCAACGACCGATACTATGCCGATCCGAAGCCAGGAGCCTCTTCCGGGTCTCCCACGCGGGTGCAGGGTCCCAAAGCTTTGGGCCGTCCTTGACTGCTTTCCCAGGCCACAGGCAGGGAGCTGGAAGGGAAGCGGGGCTGCCGGGTTTAGAACCGGTGCCCATATGGGATCCCGGGCGTGCAAGGCGAGGACCTTTAACCACTTGCACCACCGCGCCGGGCCCGAAATATATAATTTTTAAAACTTGACCTCCCGGGCCCAGTGCAGTGGCCTAGCTGCTAAAGTCCTCACCTTGAACACACCAGGATCCCATATGGATGCTGGTTATAATCCCAGCAGCCCGGCTTCCCATCTAGCTTCCTGCCTGTGGCCTGGGAAAGCGGTCAAGGTCGGCTCAAAGCCTTGGGACCCTGCACCCATGTGGGAGACCTAGAGGAGGCTCCAGGCTTCAAATCAATGCAGCTGCAGCCATTGAGGCCACTTGGGGAGTGAACCAGCGGACAGAAGATCTTCCTCTCTGTCTCTCCTCTCCGTGTATTTGACTTTGCAATAAAAAAATAAATAAATCTTAAAAAAAAATAAAAGCAACCATAGCTGGCGAGCATCCTGGGCCTGGTTAATCCCAAATTTATATTAACTATACCAGTGTGCCAGCATAGTTGCCTATTCTAATTTTTTTTTTTTTTAAGATATGTGGGAAAGGTGGGGAACACTGAGCCAGGGTGTATCACCCCAGCCCACAGGGAAGGGGCATAGGGGAGCTATAGATTCCACAGGGAAGGGGATTTGGGAATGTATTAGAGTAGGAGCAGCCGAGAGCGTGTTTGACAGGGGAGGAATGACTTCTAGGGGCTTCCACACATCAGGCCACTGCACTTACTTGGCAGGCGAGGGCGCTGAGCTTGGTTAGAGGGGGGGGAAGCCTGAGGGCACATGTCTAGATCAAACCAAGGCACCTGCCCACATGGGAGACCTGGGCTGGACCAAGGAGCATCACCTGCCACACGCGGCACACATGAATGCAGGGGCAGGAGGGCATGCCTAGTTGAGCTAGGCCACAGTTCACACATGCAAGTGTTGGGACAAAGGGTGGGTCACATCAGGCTGGGCCACAGCAACCAGAATGCAAGAGAACCAGATCTGGGGGCAGATTCTGTAAGGCACTTGTAGGCTCACCTCTCTGAGACTGCCGCATTTGTTGGATTATGCAAGAGCAGGGGGGTGGTCACAGGCCTAGCTAGCAGAATTCACCTGGCAGGAGCTCACCTGATACTCGCTTAATTTGGAGCTGGGAGGAAGCAGAGCTTGGCCAGGCTGAGAGCTAGGCAGTAGAAGCCACTGGTGAGAGCCAGAACGGGAGCAGGCCAGTCAAGCAAGGCCACAGCATCTGCCTGTGAGTGCCAGAACTAGATGCTGGGGACTCTGTACAACACGGTCAACATACTGAAACTACTGCATTGTGCACTTTAAAATGGGGATACAGTGTATTGTACCATATGGGAATTGGAACTCAATTTTGAAAAATGCTTTAAATTGCCTCACCCCAAGAAAATGCCGAGATCACAGGTATCCCCTCAAAAAAACTTATCACACAATAAGTCACATCCACATCCCATCCCAAGATCCACACAGCCAATGGACTGACCAGGTAGCATTGTCATCTTCTAGCACTTTCCTCCACTCACACTCAGATCTTTACACAACAAGTTCATCCCTAATTCCTGGTCTTCATATTTGCTCAACACTCAGCTTAAAATGTTTTAGATACAGCCTGGCGCAATGGCTCAATGATTAAACCCTCACCTTGCAAGCGCCAGAATCCCATATGAATACCAGTTCTTGTCCCGCAATTCCCTTCCCATTCAGCTCCCTGCCTGTGGCCTGGGAAAGCAGTAGAGGATCACCCAAAGCCTTGGGATTCTGTACTCATGCAGGAGACCTAGAAGACGCTCCTGGCTTCGGATCAGCTCAGCCCAGCCGTTGCAGTCACTTAGGGAGTAAATTAGTAGATGGAAGATCTTTCTCTCTGTATCTCCTTCTCTCTGTGGATTGACTTTCCAATAAAAATAATCTTCAAAAAAAATGTTCTTAATATTCTTTCCTGCATTGAATGTTTGTAACTCGTCTCTGTCCAAATACCCTCCCTTCACCCTATACAGATTGTCTTTGACAAGTCTAAAGAACAGCTCCACCATCCTCCACCCTGCACTATTGTTCCACGGCTCTTCTGATCACTGGACAAGATAACTTCTAGAATTATGCCCCAGAAACCAATGCTCTGAGCTCCTGACTTCGGCATGGTCCAGCCCTAGCTCTTATGGCCATTTGAGGAGTGAACTAGTGCATGGAAGATCTCTTTTATCTGTCTCCTCTCTCTGTATCTTGGCCTTTCAAATAACAAAATAATAACAATAAAAAAAAGTTTCCTTTGGGGCAGGTGTTTGGCACAGGAGTTGAAATGCCACTTCAGACACCCATGTCCCATATCAGAGTATCTGGCTTGCGTGCTAGCTGCCTCTGCTTTCGATCCAGTTTCTTGTTCATGTGCACACTGGGAAGCAGCCGTGGATGGCCCAAGTACTCACATCTCTGCCACTAACATGGAACACTAGGATGAAGTTCCAGGTTCCTAGCTTAGGCCTGGCCCAGCCTGGCTACTGTAGGCATTTTGGGAGTCAGCTACAAATGTCTAAGTCTTGAAAAAAAAAAATTTTTTTTTTAACTAAACCATTTCCTTCTTGATTGCTGATTAGGCAACCAAGAGTGTAGAGACCTTGTCTATCACGTTCACAGCTCTGAACCTGCCTGATACAAGGCAAAAAGGGTTTTTCTAAAAGAAGAAATTTATCAAAGACTTCCAGGAAGGACTGGGACACCACCTGCCTGTCGGCCCAGAGGCGGGAGGAGCACTACGTCACCAGCAACCTCCAGAGGTGCAGAGGGAGTTAAGACACTTGCTCAGCACCGGTGGCCAGCCCCACCCTGGGCCCGTGACAGCCCTGAGGAAACAGCAGGAACAGCCCCTCCCTTCCAAAGCCTGGAAACCTTCTAGGGGTCACAAAGCGCCCAGTGTTTACCCAGCAACCCACAAACAAACGCAGCGGAGAGATCTAAGATTGTGGAGCTTGATACTCAAGTTGCAGGCTGGGGTCCAAGTCAGGCTCATAAAACTGCTGTCGACAAACGCCCTCTGAGCCGGCTGCTTGTGACTCCGCAGCCGACCTGTTCTCCAGAACAAGACGGTTGCAGCTCACACCTGTTCCAGCCTCCTCCTCTTCCTTTGGGTAACTTTCTGCTCTGAGACAGTAAAAACACCTCCACAGGCAGGTGCTGAAGGTCACTCTCCCCTTCCCGGCTCCGCCTCCCTAGGTCAGCATCCTGCTGAGCCCCGCACAGGGCCAACAACTTACCCACTAGGAGTTTGACATCCCGGACTGTGAAATCAGGGTCGGGCATCCTGGGGGGGTGGAAAAAAAGAGGAGTGCAGGTATTTGGTGAGAAGTCACAAACAAGGGAGTGACATCCTGGGCCCATGGTGAAGCCATGTTTCCAACAGGGGTTTCTTGTTTTCAGTTTAGGAACCCTCAAGGAACTCATCCTGAGAGACAGCAGGTGGCCCACTACTGCTTGCCCCTCCTGAACCACAGTACCCAATCATCACACCAAACCTGACCTGAGAAGATGGGTGCTCCACACTGCCCAACACCCAGTTCCAGGGAAGACTGGTGTCTGGGGGCGGGGGAGAGAGGGCGGGGAGGAGAAGGGGAAGTGATACGAAAGACCGAACACCTGCTTTCTTTTAGGGTGGCCAGTCCCCTATTTCTTTCACCCTCTAGAACTCTCCCCATAAAAACTGTACAGAAGGCGAGCAGTCCTCCCTGAGAGAAGTACTGGAAAAAAACACGCATCACACCAGCTCCAGGGCTCTGATACGCTGGCCATCCGGACAGTAGTGACGTCCACCATTCTTTAATGATGGTGCCGAAGGCTGAATTCCTCCTCACGGATCAAGCCTGGCAGCAGATGCTGCAGAGAGGCAGTCCTGGGATGACACCCCAAGCCTCCGCCCTACCCCTTGCCCAAGGGGTAGAAACCTGTTCTTCCAGCCTGCCTTCCGGATCTTTCTCTCCGTCAGCCCAGTTGGCCCAGGGAGCTCTCCCAGATCCCAGCCAGAATGTAGTCCAGACTGAGTGAAATAGCAGGCAGGGGGACAGGAGGAGGAGGCGGAAAAAGGGGAGACGCTGGCACCCTAGAAACATGAATTTCTAGAAAGCAGGGTCGCCGTCCTGCGTGGTGGGAGTCCTTGGACAAAACATACATCCACGTACCCGCAGCCTGGGCTTAGAGGCTCAGAGCTTGGGCTCTGCCTCAGTTTCCTGAAGACACCACTTAAATGCCCCGCCCCTATCCTCTGCCCAAAACTGCTGAAAAAAGATCCATCTTTGGAGCTTTTTCCCCCTTGTGAGCTCTGAAAGATGCTGTCCCAAGGTCCCAAGATCCTTGTGGGAGATGAAGGGTGGACGGAGGGTGGAAGGCATCCATCCCAACACAGGTGTTAGAGAGGGAGGAAGGGAAGGGGACGAGAGGTTTCAGCAACTTACTTAATTCCCAGTCCATCCTTTTCTGGAAATACCAGGGGGACCCTGAGGGCTTCTCTCTGTACGTACTCATAGTTGAAATCTGTTCGGATATTTGAATTAAAACAAGTCGGTTAAGTTAGGAAGGCAGTGAACCACAATCCATGGGTGAGGAGAAGAAAAAAAGATCACGCAGCAAGGGGCAGGGGGAGTGCCTTCGATGCCAGCACCAGCTGGATGGCAACACCTCCCTGCACAGCGACAGGCAGACTTTGGCATAGCCCCAGAGAAGCCACGCCAAGCATCAGCCCTTCTACCTACTCCATCATTCTCTGCATGCCCCACGGGTCCGAACTTGTCAATGAGGGCCCTTGATCCCTCCAGGGATGGGAAGGGAGGTTCAGGGAGGCCCACCCACCCGAAAGAGTCCCAGTGTATCGGATGAGAAAGAGGGACGGACAGAGGAATGCATCCCAGGCTGAGCTCGGAAAAGGAGAGGGGACACAGAACCGAAGGCCACCTGGGAGGAGGGCTCTCCATGTGCCTGAGCATCAGCAAAAATCTTATTGTAATATCCTGCATTGGTAAAGGAGCGGGAGCTGGTTTCCCTGGAAACTCTGTACTTGGTGCCAAAATGAGAGAACTGGGCACAGCCTTGTTGTCTTTACAGGGGAATGTTGTCACTGCGGGCTTAGCCATTCCAATGCCTGCTTCCCCGGGATGCTCCAGGTGAAGACAGGGAGAAAGAGGGTGGAGTAAGGCCCACAGAATAGCCACAGGATTGACTGCGGTCTGGGAGTGGTCTGTAGCAGACCCCCCAAAGCCTTAGCCAAAGCCCTACATAGAATGAGGCCATACAACTAAATGTTTTTCCTTCCCCAATTCCAAAAGCAATGGGTCTGACCTAACGGTATCGCAGAATACAAGAAGTATGAGGAGGAGCACATAGTCGTCCTCCCAAAGTCTAAAGTGACTAGAGCAATGCACAAAGACCCAGGCCCTCCTCCAGCTGGTCAGCAAGGAGAGAGAAGAGGCCTCAAGCCAGTGCCCCAGGCAAAGGATTCACCAGGGCGAGTGGGAGTGGGGGGGTGAGGAGGGAGGCCAGGGGCTCAGAAGAGAGGAAGAACAAAACCAGAGCAGGGAAAGCCCTGACCTCAGCGGTTCAGATCCCCAGGGGCTCCCAGTGAATGGGGATTCCTCAGGATTTAAAGGAAGAGAAGTTGAAGAAGCTTCTGTTTTGAATCCAGGCTAAAGGGCTCCTCCCTCAAGTATTGGGACCAGATCTGAATTAACCAGCAGATCCCTCAGGCCTCCTCCTTCAAAAGCAGCCTGGGCCGCAGACTGAAGGCTGTATCTCCAGATCCCCCAAACTTTTGCACCCCTGAAATGCAGGCTAAGCCTTCACCAGTGACTAGGATGGGCCTATGTTTTGTTTTCTCACAGGATCTGCTAAGACTCAGGGCCAGGGGGCGGGAGGAGAGAAACTAAAAACCCTGGAGAGGGGATTCAAATGCAAGTGAGACAGCACCCTGCTCCGGGCCAGTCCAGGCCAGGAGAAATCTCTACTCCACCTATCCCCACCCCCAACCCACCAGGGCCTGGGCCCCAGGGAAGCAGGGAGCACAAAAGAAAAACTTCAAAAATGCAAAGCCTAGATGAGTCCCTTCTCTCTTCTAAGGACTAACCGGCTGGCTGCAGCCACTCAACCAGAACCTGGTGGAGGAAGGCCGTAAGCTGACGGATGGATGACTTAGCCGAGGGGAGGAGGGATCAACAGAATGGAAACTGAGTAAGGGGAAAGAAACTCTAGATGCATAACCCACACAGCCTCGGGGGGGACACTGGCCCCACCACTAGGCTGAGGGGGCTCTGGGGGCCTCAGACTCAAAGTAGCACCCCCGATGAACTGAGGGCACTGCATGTCCCCCGCACCCCGTGTGTGCGAGGGAGTATTTCAGGTTAAGGGGTGCTCCCAGGCCACCATTCTGTTCTCCACTGGAAGAAATACCGATGTGCAGGAAAACCTCTAGTTTCCCAGAAAGATGTCCCAGCTCTTCATTTCAAACAGCCAGGTAGCAGGAAGTCTCAGATTTAACCCCGAGAGGTAGTCCGCAGCTTACCCCACACCGGTAGACAGGGCTGTGACTCCAGAAGCCTGGCACTTAACTTAGGGGTGTCATCTGGTCCTGGCTCCAATGTGGATGAGCCCCGGCAGAACCCAAACTATGCAAACCTCCAACCTGAGAGGGCATCACCCCAACAATCTAAAGCATCCCATCACCATTTCCCAACCCCCATAAGACCCTGTTTTTCCCAAAGACTGGGAGGTTTCAAGCCTGGGGGATCCCCACCCCAACGTCCCAGATGCTCCCCAGCTCGGGATTGACTCTAGCCAGGAAGCCGCACCTCAGGCAGCCTAGGGAGAGAGCGTGATGGGCTCCGGAAAGGGGAGGACACCGCTCCAGCCTCTGGTCCCTCTGTCCGCCGGCCCCCCGGCTATACCCATCCCGGAGGTGGTGGTGGGCGCAGGCCGTGTTTTGGCTGGCGCCGGCCCGCTTCCTACCAGCCTTGCTCCATCGCCAACCCGTTTCCACCCCACCCCACCCCATCCCACCCCACCCCCAGTGCTCAGCCTCGTTTCGTCACCGGATCCCCTGGAATGGGGGACGCGGGCGCGAAATACGAACCCAGCCACCGGCAGCTCCCTCCCCACGTGCGCGCGGGCCCGCGGCGCGGAGCAGCCCGGGGAGGGGGCGCCTCACCTTTGCCCTCCATGGCGTGCACGAAGTCCCCCTGGTAGAGCTGGCTGCGCAGCTTCTCCTCCAGGCTGAAGCCGCGGACACTGACGATCTCCTCCACGTCCGACAAGTCTTCGTTCTCGTCGTATCTCTGGCGGTCAATCGGGCGCTGAGGGGACCCAAATCAGAGAGCCCGGAACATTACTGGGGGCCCTGGGGGCCGCCTCTAACCCTAGGCCCGGCCAGAACAGGTGCAGCTTCCGCGCGCCCCCTGCACCCCACCATTGCAATCGGGAGCAACTTTGAGCAAATGCCAAAGATGTTGAGAAGCCGAGAAAGCAAAGGTGCCAGCACCCCGAGGTCCAGCCGCGCGCGTCCCTCCTGCGTCTCCAGAAGACAAGCCAGGGACATCTTGGGAGGGCTCCCCCTTGCCCTCCGCTCCCCTCGGACGTGTTGGCCTTCACGTTATGTAACCCGCGAAGGGGGCTCCGGGCACGGGCTGGTGGGGCAGATGTAGGCCCCGGGAGGAGCCGCAGCAGCGCCCGGCTCGGCAGTAACAGCAGCCGCGGCGGCCGTGGCTGCAGGGCCGGCGAGCCGGAACCGGGGGCCGGCGGCATTAGGAAGGCTGGAGCTGCCCCCGGGCTACCCGGGAAAGGGAAAGCAGAAATGGAAGGGCTGAGACCCCAGCCGCCTGTGCCGGCCGCCCGCGAGAACGAGAAGAGGAGGCGGACGGGAGGGGGGCAGGTTTGGGGAAGGGGAGAGGCAGACCGCCCACCACAAAACTCCCCCTCGGAGACCCCAAAACGCACCAGCAACTGCCTCATCTCCCCACCGGCGCGCGTGCACACTCACTTCCTAAGGAGACTCCCCCACCACTCCCCGCATCCCCCTGGCTTCCTCCCTCCGCCGCCCGGCCGCGCAGCCCCCCAGATTCCGGGGCGAACCCCGAGCCCGCTCGGCCCCTTCCACCCCTTTCCGTGCTACCACCTCCCCACTCAAGTGCCTGAGACTCTGATCCGCACAAGGGGACTGGAAGAGTAAGCTGCCCGCTTCCTTTTGCATGCAATTTATTATATTTTTCCGGTCCTCTTGCAAAACAGAAAAGGAAGAAGAAAAGGCAGCAAGAAACAACCAAAAATGAATAAATAAATAAAAAGATCTATGAGATACAGATTTGGGTTTAAAAAAAAAAAAAGCTACACACCAATCTTCTTCCAGAGTCTTTCTCTGCCTCCATTTTTTTAGGAGAGTTCACCAATTAATTGTCAACACTCCTACCCCCTGCATTTTGGCCGAAGGGGGAAGGAGGGAAGACCAAAGAAAACAAGCTAAAAAAAAATAAATAAAGCAAGCCAGAGCCGAGATCTACAAAGTTTTGCACCAACACTTAGGCAGATCCGTTTTCAAAGTCCTAGGAAACCATTTTCAGCAGTTGTGGGGGGGGAGGCGTCGACGTCATAATCCCCGGAACGTAAACATTGTTGCCGATCGCGCCCGGAGCCCGCGGCCCGGCTGGTTGTCGGGGGTGGGGGGGTGTTGCGCTCGGCCCGGGATTGGGGGGGCGGGGGCGGCGGCCCGAGGAGGTGTGGGGCAGGGAGGGGCCCGGGAGGCAACGGGCGCCGAGAGCGCCCGGCTTCGCTGTTTTGTTGTTGGGTCACGAGTGCGCCTCTGCACGCAGGCGCCGCCGCCGCCGCCCGCGAGTTGGGTGCAGAGCTGGCTTTTGGAGGGCTGAGTAGCCGGCGGCGGGCGCATCCCGGAGATGGCGGGTCAGGGAAGGAGGGAAAGGCGGAGGAGGGGGTGGGGAGGGAGGTGCAGATTTGCACGGCTGGCCTCAGCGGGAGGCGCGGAAATGCAAGCCGAGCTTGCTAGCGTGAAAGCCCCCGGGGCCTGGCAGCCCCTAAAACCACCCCCCCCTCACCTTAGTCCCTGCCCCCATGGCCCGGGGCTGCCCCTTTTTCTTTTCCTCCAACGTCCACCTTCCAGGCCAACCCAAATTCAAAGCATTATGTGTGTTATGTGTATGTGTGCATACACACATACATATAACATATGGGTTGCTTGAGGTTTTTTTCTTTGCTTTTTTTTTTTTTTGCTTTGCACGTCTTCGTGGGGGGAGGGGCAACCCTCTCCAGACCCCCCCCCCATTCGCGTACCCGCCATATGGAAGAAGCATATGGGGGTGGGGGAGCTCTGAAGAAAATGAGCACAGATCCGTAATTGCATGAACTAAGTAACTTTCCGGGGCTCCCAAAATAAGGACTGGAGCCCCGCATCCTCACCCCCGCCACCGTCCAGGTACAGGAAATACAGCCAGACCAGAGCCTTTTCAGGCCCGCAGCTGACCGGAAGACATAGCCTTTCATTCATTCATTCTGCCCGCCTCTGAGGAGTTCTTTGACTGGGTAAAGAGCCCTGAAACCCAAGTTGGACGTTTTTAAAAGATCCTGCGCGCTCGGCGAGAGGAGCCAAGGGATGCTCCGCCGTGAGAAACCCCAAGAATCGAATCCGGCGCCTTCTGACGCAGCTCATAGACAAGCCTTGGGGGAGCTTGTTCTGCCGTTCACTGCAGAAGAGCCGGTGGAAAGGTGCGTGGCTCTCGGGTTGGAGTGGGGGTAACCCCGATGAATCCTGTAGGGTTTCCTGGCAGACCGAGCGCCCCTGTTCACTGCCCTTGTCTCTGGAACTACCGCCCGACGAGGAACGAGGGCCGGGTGACAAAAGAAACTTTACTGCAACCCAGCTCCTGCCACCTGCTAGGCCTGACCCGGGCGGTAAAGGTCTTGCTCACCTCGGAGCTACAACAGGGGTCCCTGTAGCTGGCCTTTTACTCCTGTTAACTCCATGCCCCCGCAGGGGGGAGAGAATTGGAGCAGCTCATTTTGTAGATGCAGATTTTTTTTTTTTTTTTTGGTAGAGGTGCAAAGTTAACGAGTCTCCCACATCTGTCAAAAAGCAGGCAGAGGAACGCCAAGACCAAGTGGCTTTCCCACCTGAAAATCAGATGGGGGCGTCACCTAGAGTCACGACAGTGTAGGTAGGCTTGGTCACCCCAGGACACAGCTGGCCCTGCTCCTTATCCCTGCCCCCCCCCCATCTTAAAGTTTCCTGTTATCTTTCTGTGGTCTTTTTCCATCCACTAGGAAGGGCCAGTCTTTATAATTTGGTTTAATCTGGGTTCGCTCACAATCTTCTAAGGCTGAGTGAGGCTGTGGCCCAGGTTTGTGCTGTTTGGTCCCATGATGCAACCAGGGTGTCCCAAGACCTGTTTAAGGGAGAGCATCTTTGTTACTCTGCACTTGGCAAACAAAGACGGGGCAGTGGGGCGGGGTGGGGGGGGGAGTCAGGGAAAGCCACTGGCCAGCACAGGATCACATGGCTTATATGAGGGGCTGCCCAGCTCGACCTCCACTGACCAGCTTCCTGACTCCCGCGCTGATAAATAAACCTCTTGGGGGGTCAAAGGCAAGTTACTTGGAGCAAAAGCAAAATGTGAAATAAAACGCCTGGTCTCCATCTATCTTTGTGCCTGCCTCCCTCCTTTTTCTCCGTGGGGATCTCATGGAATCCCCCAAACACAGCTACCTTAAGAACAAGTCCCATGGCAGCCCCCTTGGAGTCCATCTATCACCTGGCCTGAGAGTCCCTGGCCTGTGGGAGAGGGAAGGGGTTGAGGAGCTGCCTAATTTAATCCCCTCCCTTTACAAACCCCCCAGGAAACTGCAAACCACAGGGAAGAATGGGCTGGCTGGGGGTCAGTTCCCCTTTGATTCCCCCAGAATGCCTGCCCTGCTGCCTGGCCCTAAGTGGTCACTCAATAAATGTTGGGCCCTTGATGGATCACCTTCTCGGACAGATTTGCATTTTCTCTTTATCAGTAATTGGCAGATGAAAGGCTTTGTCCTCCTGCTGAAAGAATTCCAAGCATTTGCTGCTAGTGGGGGAGGAGGTTATTTTGGGCTAAAGAGGAAAGGTCCGAGACCCTGGAGCTCCCGGGGTTGGCTAATTGTCCTGCAGCAGCCTAGGGAGGTGGTCAGAGAGGGGCCAGAAGCTTAAGGTGCTTCACAGAGAGATGGACATTTTCTTCCAGGAAAACCACACCACCAGGCCAGTTGTGTTCCCAACATCATGATAATGACTTCCTGGACCCTCCTGCTTGCTCTTACAAAAGGCCCAGTCAGATCCTGCTTGGTTCCTCCCCCTCCACCCCCATTCATTCATTTCTTCATTTATCAAAGATTGATTGAACAGCTCTGTGCCCAAAGCACAGAGACGGAAAAAGATAGAAGGAGCAGCTCCAATTAAAGGCATTCTCTAGGCTGGGCCATGGGACGAACTGAAGACTGCCCAGAGAGTGAGCTAACGTGGATGGAACCGTCACGGCCCAGGTTTCTCAGAACCATCCCCTGCAGCTGTTTTTCAACATTTCCTGGCAAAGTGGAATCCAAAAAAACCTAAACCAAAGCCCACGCATGGGATTCTTTCACAGCATATATTTACCAGTGGTGTGCATGGATTTTGAATTTTTTTTTTTTGCACCAAAACAGTTATTATCTTTGAATTCCATTTCTACAAACTGTTCGTAGTACCCTACAATAATTACAATAGTCCCTAAATCCCAGGACGACTTGGTCTTTGAGCAGAGCCGCTTCTTCAGTAAAGCCCTGTGAGAGTGGGCAGCCTTGATGTTCCCCCTTCATAGGTGAGGCACAAGGAGAGCTCAAGGGACTTGGCCAAATTTTAAAGTGGGTGGGAAATCTTTTGCCCCAGGGCCATATGGATAGTTATAATATCATTTGCAGCCATACAAAATTATCAGGTTAAAAATTAGCATGTTATGGATTTGTGGAATTTCGAGTCCAGCCTGTGGCCATATGTATTTTGAAAAACTATATTGCATGAGTTTAAAAACTTTTTGACATGATAAAAAAAAATCTTAATTCCATTTCTTGTAAACTTCTTGAAGTCCCTTTGTACAGACAGTTAGTGTGTGTCTGCCTCACTGAACAGCCATAGTGCTTGCCAGAATTTATCTGACCCACCTTCCAGGATGAATAATAGAACTGAAAAATGAGGGATATGTGTCTGTAGTATTTGAAAGATAGAAGTGACTGGAGATCTTCCAACTGGTGGTTCACTTCCCAGATGCCTGCGACTGCCAAGGCTGCTTGGGGCAGACAGAAGCCAGGGGCGCAATGCCACCTGGATCACGCCTGTGGCTGGCAGGCAGGGATAATGATGGGTCTTGAGCCATCATTCTCTGCTACCCAGGCTGCACTCTGCTAAGGAAAGCAGCTGGAACACATGCTCACCCTTGAATTCATAAGTTTACCCACACACATGCCAAAGGGTCTTCATGTGTCTAGATCTTTGGTGCTGAGGTCTCATCCACCTTGCAGAACCACCTGTGGAACGAATGCAGGGTCTCAGGGAGAAGGGCATTGTGGATATCAGCAAAGGTTTCCCGGAGGAGGAAGTCTGGCAACACACGGGGCTCAAGGGTCAGCCCTTCAGCCACTAGCCGAGTGCCTGCCAAGAGCAAAGTAAGATACTCTGAGACGAGGAAGATCTTCCATCCGATGATTCACTCCCCAAGTGACCGCAATGGTCAGTGCTGCGCCAATCCAAAGCCAGGAGCCAGGAGCCTCTTCCAGGTCTCCCACACGGGTGCAGGGTCCCAAAGCTTTCCCAGGCCACAAGCAGGGAGCTGGATGGGAGGTGGAGCTGCCTGGATTAGAACCGGATCCCATATGGGATCCTGGTGCATTCAAGGCGAGGACTTGAGCCACTAGGCCACCGTACCAGGCCCTAGAGTGTGAGATTTTTAAAGCCATGCGTGTGTGAATGTTTCCTGCTGAAGGACCTTGTAAAGTTAAATTTCATTTTATAGGCTGTGATGCCTTGGGAATTTTATGCCTGGGAGATGTATTAGCTACTCAAAATACATTCTATCTCATTCATTTTCTTTGAGCCTACAAGGTGCCAAATCAGGCAAATCTAAACCAAATAAATATTACTCAGATATAAACATGTAAGTGGGACTGCATTAAATAAAAATAAGGGGTGCTTAACACACAGGCAGGAGAGCGGATGGGGTTTAGGGAGGTGCTGGACATTTTGCTTCTTAATCTACTTGATGGATGTCTGTGAGTGTTCTGTGTTTACAGATTGTGTTATTTTTTGTGAATTACTTCTTAATCAAAAGTTATTTTAGGTCTCTCTGCACCCGAGTCACCATCCCTATTTCACCCTCCACGTAACCATGCCCAGAAATCTTTTTGCCTAATTACCCCCAGAAATAGACCCTGCGTGTACGAATTTCCACAGGTTCTCTGCGCAAACTGTTGTCCCTGAAATACACCCACACTGTCCTGGGGGCTCATTTCTCACACACTCTCAAAAAAACCTTTCCCTCTCAAAAAACCTTTCCCTGTTCCACCCTGGAAAAGTTGCTAGATTCTGGCTTTGGGTTTTTTTTTTTCTTTTGTTTCTAGTTTTATTTTTGGTTCTCT